GGCCCTGCCCTCGCTCGGCGGCGGGGGCCGAGCGGCAGCAATGGCGGCGCGGGGCCGCCGCCCGCCCGGGCAGCCGCGGCTCTAGGAGGGACGCGCGGGGCCGCGGGGCGCCGCTTCCCGCCGGGGTATTTATTCCTCCCCTCTCGCTTAAGTTGCCAGCGGAGCGCGCTGGCCGGAGCCTGCCCCCCCCGCGCCGCGGAGGTGCGGGGTGGCCATGGAGAGCCCCGCCGAGAACCCCAGCAAGGCGGCCGAGTACCTGAAGGAGCTGAACAAGATTATCGAGACGCAGCAGGAGCTGCTGGAGAAGCAGAAGCGGAGGATAGACGAGCTGGAGCAGCAAGTGGCCAAGTTGTACCACGAAAATGCCTGCCTGCAGGACGAGCATCACCGGCACCTGGCCACATGCCGGCTCCAGCAGGGCGTCCCCCCCGCGCCCCCGGGGGTGCTGAGCGCCATCCAGGAGAACGCCAGGCACGAGAAGTAAGCGCTGTCCGCCTTTCTTTGCCCCTTTTTCGGGCAGGGGGTTTCCCTGGCGGGGGTTCCCTTCCCTTTCCCCTCCTGCTTTCGGCCGCCCGAAGCCGGCAGCAGCGGGACTCCCTGCGGGGTGTGCCCCGGGCGGCCTCGGGGGACAGCCACGGGCTGCGGAGGCATGGCCCCAGCCTCACTGCCCGTGTCTCACTCGCTCCCTGGCCGGGGTCCCGGGGGGTTTCCTGCAGGGCTTCCCCGGCTGCACCGCCGGCCGTGCCCACGGCTGTCCCTGCGGCCAGCGCCGCCCGCGGCGCTCAGGGGATGCCCCGGGCAGAGCCGCGGTAGCGGGGCGCTGGGATCAGCGGGGCGAGCCCTGCCCTTCTCCCCGTAGCGTGTTCGCTGCCGGTCCGAGCGCCGTGGGGAGCGGGGGTGTTCAGCGTGGGGAGCCGCCCGCCCCCCGGGAGATGCCCCGCGGCGCTCCCGAGGTGCGGCCCTTGGCTCCGGCCGCTATCGAAAGTGACCCGGCCCGGGGTCAGTAAACATTGGCCGCTCGCCACCGGCGGGCTGGCCCGAGCCAGCGCCAGCTCGCCCCGTTCGGGCCGCCTTCGCTCCCGGCATCTATTCCAGCCTCTCTAAGCTGTAATTAATCGTCTGCGTTTCCCCAGCCCTGCGAAAAGCCGCTTAGTTGCGGGGTTCCGAAGCAGCAGGGATTCGGGAATAGCAAGAACTGAGGTCGGCGCTTTCCCGTAGTATTTTTACTTCTGGAAAAGTATTTAAGGCTTGGCTTTCCCGGAGCGGAGTGGGAAAAGCATGCATGGGATTACGAGCCCACTTCGCTGCTTGACACAGCACAATGGGCTGTTTGTGATCCGCTGCGCTCGAATTCCTCAGGTTTATAAATACAGACGCGGCGGCTCCCGGCCGCCGGCAGCCCCCGGAGTGCGGGACACAGCATCGCCCGAGGGAGGGCGAGCCCGGACAGCGCTCCGGCCGCGGGGTGCCGGGGGTACCGGGGGTGCCCGGGGTGCTGAGGGTGCCCGTCCCGCTGCGGGAGGCGCCGCTCGCTCGCTCGCTCGCTGCCGGGCTCGGGCAGCCCCGCTGGGCTCGGCAGCATCGCCCTCCGGAGAGCGGTGTCGGGCAGGGATGTCCCGGGAGCTCCCGCCGGCAGGGTGGAAGCGCTGCTGCCGCTGCTGCTGTGCTCGGAGTCGGCGGTGCTGCTGTTCCGAAGCAGCTTTTTCTCAGTGCTGCTGTGGAGGCTTCAGAAGGGTCGCTGGTGGCTCAGTGTCCCCTTTGCCTGCTCCTGCTCCTAAGCCTTGCCCCTGGCCAGGGGAGCAGGCTGGGAAGGGAAGTGGCTCTGCCTTCTCAGCGCCCTTCTTGCTGTCAGCGTTAACTGGGCTTCTTTTTCTGCGATGTAATCAGTTTAGTCTTTTTGATAAACAGAGATGTCTCTCTGAAAGTAAATACCTCCTGTAATAAACTGGAGAGCATGTTGTCATTTATCAATCAATCAATCCCTTAAGGAGAAAGAGCTGTTTCCAGAAAATATGGAATATTTACACTAATCCTATCCTGTGCCTCCCTGTCCAGTACCCGAGGATTTTTGTGGCTGTGCTTGTAGTACATGTCAACTCAGCTATCTTGTCCCATTTGTCTCTTGTAAATGACATTACCAAAAATTGTACAAATGGCTTGCCTTGTTTGATAATATTTCTCCTCTGCAGCCCAGGACTCATTTGCAGAGCCCTCCTTGGGCAGGCAGCTCTGGGGACTCAGAGGCTTTTAAGTCTCTTAAGTGGATTTGATGCTGGGATCAGAATTAATCTGGGATATTTATGGCAGAGTTGTATTGCTTTGAGGCATAGCCTGGGGGCTTAGTGGGGGAGCTGGGAGCCAGCCCTGTGCATCTGGCCCGGCCCTTGGCCCACGTGCCTGCCTGGGGAGCCACAGCTTCAGGGCCATCTTCAGCTGAGCAGTCCTGCTGTCCCCTCTCCTCCCCCAAAATTGTTCTCCTGAGGGAGGGAGCCCCTTCTTCTCTGCAGGTGGCCCTGCCTGGCTGGGTGTGTCACACCTGGCACAGGGGCTGTGGCTGTTGAGGCCCCATGCTGTCCAGAGCAGGTGCAGGAGCCACTCATGCCATCAGTTTATTCTCTGGCTGGATGCAAAAGATGGAGGAATTCTCCAACTTAGAATAGAGAATAATACCCTTGTTTTAAAGGGTTCTCCCAGTCCCACGGTTCCCTGCCAGGTAGGGCTTCCTGGCAGCCCTACCTGCAGGTTCCAGAGGTCTGGAGCTTTGCTCTCAGGAGCTCAGCCTCAGTTTCCTCAGACCTAATTGTCCCATTCACCTCAGGGATCTGTGGGTGGGGCATGAGGATCCCTTGTTTGCTGAAACTCAGTGTCAGGTGCCAGTGATGCTGAAATGGGCAGTGACCACTGCTCTTCCTGACACTTTCGTACTGCAAAGCTAAAAATAATGGAATCATTTTTGAGGGAAACTGGGCTTCTCTTAGTCAAATACACCAAGGCTTTTAGATGTTGTCTTGTACCTTGATTTGAACAACTTTTCTAAACTGCTTAGACTCCTGTCCTGCAGCAGCTTCACCTGTGTGAGGTGGCTGTGGCTCCCTGGCAGGGGTCCCATAATGCCAGATGTGGTTAACTTGTATAAAAGTAAGTATGCAAAAGTTATACAAGATAATATGGCTATGGATAGGTCTTAATACTTAATAAAAGATAGTAAAGAAACCTGACAAGCAAAACAACAAAATCCACACAAGTCCTAAAAGTTTTCAGTTCTTACAATGGAAGGAATATACAGGTGAAGACCACTTAAATAATTTAGAAAATCTGGTGTAGTTATAGAAATTCTGTAGCTTGTGAGGAGGAGAACAGTTAATGAGCCCTGAGACAGACTTCTGGAAGAAAGAAACTCAGTCCAATAATATATATAGAAATATATAAAAATAATCTGGTTTATGCACTTCCAGAAAATCCTAGAGTGGGAGAAATGTTTCTTTTGTGCCAGTTGCTGATGGAAGAAGGGAGGGAGGGAGGAGCAGAGGGCTGGGTGAGGAGGTGAAGGTGTGCTGCTTGTCCTGCAAGGACAGACCAAAAAAGGTTTGGGGGCGGTCTCACAAATTTTACAATGATTTGCTGAGAGCAAATCAACATTAAAGTGCACCGGGGGAAATGAGAATAGTTGATAACAAGGTTTTGTTAGGTGTGATGAATCAGCATAAGGAAGATAACAATAGGTGTTTAACTCATTAAGGTGTTTAACTCTGAGTTGCATAAGACTAATGTTGAGTGAATCTATTTCATTTAACGTTTGAGAAGCAGCAAGAGCCTCTAGAGCTCAGCTCCTTGGTGTAATTGGATAACGCACTTTTTTGGGGGGGTGCAAACCCAAATGCGCTGCATTTTCTCACATCTATACAAGGATAGTTTTGCGTGTCTGAGAACTCAACACTGGCCCCTCGCAGCTTAGGGAGGGATGTTTGTGCTCATCCTAATCAAGTTAAAAACTGTGCTGCTTTTCTACGGAGAAGGTGCCTGGTGGGAGGCTGAGCAGGAGGCAGAGCAGAATTGTCTGCTGAGACAGAGCAGTCTGAAGGGGCTGTGTTTGCAGCTCGGTCTGAGTTCTGCACCTGGCCTGGCTGGTTTATTTTTAAATGAATCTGGGGCTGGTTTTGTTCTCTGGGCCATGGCAGCCCCGGATTGGAGCTGTAAGACACCCCCAGAGTGTCTGGGAGGCGCTGGGCTCTGGGCTCGGTGGCGGGGAGCAGCGGAGTCGCTGGCGTTGTTGCTCTGGTGACAGTCACATGTGAAGGCTGCCTTGTGCCCTACATAGGCGAGCTTGTGACTTGGCCTGTGGCTGCCGGCGCTGGGAGCTGCCCTGCACAGCCCCAGCAGCAGCCCAGACAGTGCATTAGTGTAGAGACCAGCAGGGCTTGTTTTCTCTGCCTCCAGAGATGTCCTCTGCTAAGACAGGCTGTCCAAATGACGTAAATCCCATCTCCCTGCCTGCGCCGCGCTCCAGCAGCAGCTTGTTTGTGTTTTGTGCGCTCAAGTGGAGGGACCCAGCAGCTGCTCCAGCGGGCTCGTGCTTGGGCAGCTTCTGCCTTCTCTGCCTCCTTGGCAGCAGGGATGGAGATGAAGCGCTGCTGCTGGGTCCTGTTTCTCCAGGAAGGGTGGTTTGTGGCTGGAAGTCTGCAGTGCCAGGGCAGTTCTTACCAGGGATGCACCCGCCTGGTTGTCTGGCTCAGCTGGTGAGGAATGCATCCATGGGGGAAGCACAGGTTGTGCCCAGGGTGAGCAGCTTATTCCTACAGGGTGCTGAGTGTGCTGTCAGCTCTGTAGCAGGTAGGGATGGTGTAATTCCAGCTTTGAGCAGAAACTTGCACCTTCAAATAACTTAAAAGAACCCTGTTCGCTTCATTTTCAATCCGTAACTGGAACAGTGGGACTGCTGAGCCCTGAGAGTGAGGGTTTCACACTGAAGGGAGTGCTTTTGCTTTTGAAGCCCACATTTTGGGGTCATTATTGTGATTTGGACAGCAGCACAGGGGTGAGCATCCCTTAGAACAGGCATTTGTGGTGCTGGCAGACTGCAGGAAATCAACAGTGTGAGGATGTGTAAGAAGATGTGAACTCACTAACTAAACTCAGCTAAATTATTTTGGATCTCTGAAATATTGGCAAATTCTGGTACTTAATATCTGCTAAACATTAAGCTAAATGATGACACATAAAGACAAATTCATTTGAAAGCTGATGTGTGCTGTATAATCAATAAACCAAGGCAGGGAGTGGGGTGCCAGGAGCACAGGGATGACAGAGCAGAGTGCTGCTATCAATAAAGTTCCTGGGAATTCAGAGGGGGGAGGGAGAACATGGTCCAGAAAGAGAACAGCAGAAATAAGTGTTGTTTTGGGACAGAAAAACCAGTGTAGCAGAAAGTAACCCATCCTGTAACACAATAGCTTTAAAGACTGTTTCAAAACTTGAAGTAA